CCCCATGGGCCTATCCTTTTCTTAGGAAGTGACTGTGCTCATATGATGGTAGAACTAAACAAGAAAAAACAAAGACTTTTTTTTACTTAGCCTTGGGGAACTCATCAACAATATCTTGCTGAAAAATATTAAGATACGTTGTAAAAGATGATAAAACTGCTAGTGGCTGAGCATAATTTGAAAACTTCAATGAAAAGGACATCGTTACTAGAATGCTTAGTGTTCACACTGGTCGTGCTGTCAGGTAAACATTACAGTACTAACCGCAAGGTCAGCATTTCAAACCCACTAGCAGCTCTGTGGGAGAAAGATGAGGCTATTTGATCCTGCAAGGATTTATAACCTTGGAAATCCTATCTAGGGTCACTATGAGCTGGAGCTGAATGGACGGCAGTAGGTTTAGGTTAAGAAGTGTTTACCTGATAGAAGTGAGTGAAAAAAGGAGGCAAAGAATTTTTATCACAAAATTTTTTTATTTTTCTATTGTGATGGATGCTTGTGAGTCTTTTTGTGTACAGAAATGATCACCTTGTGGCAATCACCAATACAGGCCAGCTGGAAAATGAAGTAAACAACTGTCTGACTTCATGACAGAAACAGGTGATTGTGGCTTGGCTTAAAAATTTCAAAGAATTCAGGGTCAACACCATGTACAGGTTCATACAAGCGCTCTGTCTCTGGAAAACAGTTCAATGACTCTGGTGATCACAAAGGCATTGACGCTGGACACGGGTGAACAGCAAGAATATTGTTTTGTCAGATGCACGAGTAGGGTGTGTGTGGTGGCGGGGGAGAGGCGTATTTTAAAATGAATAATTTCAGATAATATTTGAGATACACAGGACAATGGAATGAATTTAATAGAAAGAAAATGAATGACCCGCTAAACCGGTTCTCAAACACGTGTTTCCTTTTCGCCAGAGGCAGCAGAAAGGAAAATGAGGTGACCCTGGCTGTCGTCACTGAGCAGCTGAGGCCATGACTTAACATCTCCTCATGTCGTATCACCACCTTTCCATCAGAACCTGTCGTAAGCTGCTTCTTTCCTTCAGCGTGGATCACGCCCTGATATGCTTGAAGCCTTGCCCCCTCACTAGAACATAAGCTCACTGACCACAGGGCACTTGCTGGCCTAGTCACAGACGGATTCTGCACGTTACCCAGTGTCTCCTGGACCAATGACATTTAGTAAAAATGAAATGAATGAGGAAGGCGTGAACGAACACCTGATAGACCCAGTAGACAACACAGATCGATTACATCTTCTTCCCATATTTGGGGACATGTAAGGATGTCCAGGAGGGAAAGGGGCTTCTCTCTAAACACCTCTCCTGAGTAATGGGGTTGATGCCCATCACTGGTTCTCTGGGAACACTCTCGAGTTTATATAACCACCTTGTGGAGAACCCGGGACTACCACTAAGCAGCTACTTCATGAGGATTGTTACAATCGAGGGAGGAGGAGATCCAAGATAATGAAACGGTCTTCAGGAGCACAATCATTGGTTTGCTCTTTTCGAAACGCCACAGGATATTTTTCTCTTTTGATCCCTTTGAAGCCAGACTGAGTCTAGGTTTTCTTTTCTCCAAACTGTTCAAGGGCTCCACACTGCGGAAAAGTGCAAGGTCTCAAGCATGGACTATGAGTCCTTCTGTGGCCTGGATGTTTTTTCTCTTAGCTTCTCTTTCAGGTACTAGGTGCCTACCAGCTGGAGCAAACTGCCCGCTCCCCAAAGAAACCGGATTGTCTCTCCCCTTGGAACCTCTGCTCCATTTGGGAGGCCCTTTTCTGCTGGGCCAGCCAGTGGATCAACAGGAAGAAACTAGTGTTTAGAGAATGGGTTGGCAATTAGTCCACAGCTAGTAAAAACCTCAGCTGGAACCCAAACCATTTCCCGCTATACTATGATCCACCTAGTCACTGGTGGTGACTCCAGTAAACCTTTACAGCACCCTTCCCCAGCAAAACCAATCATCTCTCCTTCAAATGCAGGCCTTCTGAATCGGAAGTAATCTTCCAAGATTTCTTAAAAGGGGCTTGGCCCATGACTACCCCACCCCTAAAGCTGCATTTCCAACCACTCCTCCCTTCTCTCAGCTTGAGACACATTGGTCTCCAGAAATGAAGTTCTCTCCCAGGTGTTTGCTCAACTTCATCTGGTTCTCTGCTCAAAGGTCACCTGCTATGAGGAGTTGCATTTGACCTCTCGAAGCTAAGGTGGCTTTCCCCTTCTTGTTCTTCTGAGAGAACCACCTCTTCTCTAACCTATAACCCTGCCGCATTTCTTTGTAGTAGCGATGAGGACTTAACATAGTATGCTTGATCATGTGTCTGTTGTTTCTATAAAGCTAACTCTAAGAACCCTAGAAACCTTGGTTTTGGCTCGCTGCTGATGTGAATACGCACAGGAACCAATGACGGACCCCTGACGCTTTAGCATTGGTGTGAGTGTTGGTTTGAGCCACCTGTCTTCTCCCACTGGACTGCTAGGGTTATATCCTGTTCTTGTCTCTGCGGCTCGCTCCTTCCTGGCCCAACATTACATCTTAACATTCTTTATATGGCTGAATGACTATGGGTATGAATTACCTATGACAATGTTTTTCTTTCTTTTTGGTGGACGTTTTTCTAAAAAAGATGCTCTGACTCCATGTACACTGCATAAATGGAGGAAAATAATTAGGGTTCCAAAATCTGTTTATTTGAAACTCCTGGAACTAGATGTTTAAAAATCCAGAGTTACTCACCACTTACATCCCTAGCAGGGTGGTAATTTGTATCTAAATATAGTATTAGCAGTCTAACAAAATCTATTAGTCACAGAGTACGTAAAGAGTCCTACTATGTGCAGTAGGTAAAAGTTCAAGTCAGGTTTTATAGCCAAGTAAGTGATCAGGACAAAGAGAGCCTTGGGATTTGGGAGCTGTGGAGGAGCATGTGGACAGGGGACCTTGGAGGAGAGAACCAGATGAAGGTGCCAGCTGACTGGCGCTCAGTGAGATGCTTACATGTTCCAAGGTTCCCACACTCTGTCAGGCTGGGAAGCACTGACGGAACACAGAAGTTAAAGCCTGCATCTCCCTCATCTGAGCTAACATATGTGCGGCATCTGCTATATACCAGCCCCATGTGCTAAGTCCAGTAAGTAAGGCAGCAAAAAGTACTCGCCTCCCTTTAAGTAGGAAGAAACTGAGGTTTAGAGAAAGGTTTAGCAATTTGCTACACAGCTAGTAAACGGCTCAGCTGGGACCTAAACCCAAAGCCTCTCACACTATGCCATGAATCTCCTCGTTACCCTGACCTCATGTAGCACAAGATACAAATCTCTTGTGTAAGTTTTTCTGTGGTCCTGAGTTTAAAGGTTTTGGTTTTTTTTGCTAACTCAAGTGAGTATAAAATTCCGTATCCTGTAAGTTCATCTTTGAAGGAAAAAAGGGGGGAAACGGCCCAGCTTCTATAGGGAACTGACCTTTAACTTCTATTGGTATAATGGAATAATTTATTGCTTTAGCTATACCATTGTTTTAAGTACTTCTAGTGAGAGATCAAGTGATTTCAGATAATAACAAAGTGTATACAGTCCTATTGACTTGCCCTGATTTCTTTTGCCAAACCAACACCCACGGCCTGCTCCTCCCTGACAGGGTTAGAGATGGCAGAAGAGACTCATCAAAAAGGCACTAATGATCGAGAACACGCAGGCGTGTACATTTACCTTTTGCAAGGACACCTTAGTTACTTGGCTTGTTTTCATTACTGTGATGGCCACAGCAAACACGATCTTCTCCTTCAGAATGATCAAATACAGCAAAACCATTCTGGTCTTAAGGAGATAGTTATATAAGAACAATAAAGCTAATTGGAAAATCCCTACACAGGGCTACAGCTTCAACTGAAGACAGCGCTCTGGACCTGGAAGCACAGTTGTATGGAAACCTCAAGCTCTGAGATGTCGAGCAGCAAACCATGACACACATTCGTTCTAGGGCACACAGCAGATATGCAAAACGAGGATCACGAGAGGAAAATAACACATACACTAAAAACATCACAACAGAAACGGGCTTTATTTCAACAAGCATCACCTTCAAGACCAGAAGAGAAGTAAGTTAGAGATGGTGCTCCGAAGGCAGAACCAAAGACCCATCGCGGAACAACTGTGCTGCCCTTTAAGAAACCCCGTTCAACGGTACACTTAACCCCCAAACCAGTCTGCTCTGTATCATCAGCTCTTAAGCGTTCTAACATCGGTACAAGAGTCTCATTCGAATGAGACAGTCCAATGGGAAAATTACTCATCAGTCCCTATGATGTCTTCAACAAAAAGATTCAAGGTCAGTATTTTTTAATCTTAAAACAAGGATTGAAATGCAGATTTAGATTGAGAATATTAAAAACAAAACAAAACAAAAACTTTAGCATTATTATTTATAAGATACCTTGTTACCAAGCTCCTAGGTACATACATGTACACAAAAAATAGCTCATGGCTACGTAACAGGCTAATCCGTGAATTCCACCCCCAAGTCTCTTGATGTGAACAATAACCTCCCTGCACAAGGATTTACTGCCTCTCTGCACTGAATGGATGAGGACGGTTCATCATACAACACTTTAATAGAGCCTAACATAAAGTAAATCCAACAAAACAAGGCTATATTCATAAGGGATACTATAAAATGGCATATTTTGAATTTTGGCCAGACCCATTGAATTCAGCAACACATTCAGAGTCTTCCTTGGGCACTTCTGAGGTTTGAAAGATCTGGTGATTAACTTTGTATTGAGTTGGTCAGCACCTTCAGTCACAGGAACAAGTATGTTGGAGAAAGGCTTTCATCTGGGTCAGCAGAGGGCGGGGAGACCATCCCAGGACAGAAGTACCGTGGAAGGACCTTCTTTGTTCAGAAGACATTCAAACAGGAAAACGAGACCAAAAAAAGGGAAACAAACAAAGACAGTGCTCGCAGTAAAACATGCCAGATTTGTAGTTTCATTTGAAACAAACAGCAAATCATGAAACGTCATGAAAAATATACGTAAAGGTAAAATCTCCTAGAGTGATTACTAAATGAAGTTAAAATTGCCACACTGATCAGTAAACCCCAGAAGAAAAACTTAAGATAACAAAACCGCTTTTACATTTCAGGTCCTTCTTAAAAGAATCATACAACACATTGCAAAGTTAATGCATAAAATTAGTTAGGTTTGGCCACGCTGCACAACTTTTTTTCTTTTCTCTTTTTTTAAAAATACAGTAGACAGAAAAAAATCTTGTATTCCCCATTTTGAATCATAAGCTCAAAACGTAAGTATAGAAGACCGGCGAGAAGGATTTTTCAACTATTTACAAGTCCAGCAGGGTGAAGTGCCAGAATGGCTTGGCTTCCGGCTGCATCGTGGCTTCCACCGCGTCCAGCAGCAGTTTCCAGTGCTCACGGGAGGCTCTTTCCGTGCCGCTCCTCTTTACAGGTCAGCAGTCATTTTGAACAGTTCCAGTAGGGCCCCAACAGCTCCAAAGTAACCCTACAAAACAACGGGAAAACATCCGTCTGTCTTTGCACATTAGCAAGTACTTTTGGTTTTCATACTCGGAATGACTTTGCTTCATGCCGTCACCCTGGTGGCATTGTGGGCTATGTGTTGGGCTGCTAACTGCAGGGTCAGAGGTTCAAGCCCACCAGCTGCTCCATGCATCGTCTGCTCCCAAAAAGACTCACAGTCTCAGCAACCCGACACAAGGTCACCCCGAGTGTAAATAGACTTCACGGCGGTGGGTCTGGTTTGGGGGGTTAATGCTGTAAAAGAAATGTAAGACCGGAACTCTTTGCCATGAGGGATGGTGGAGGAGGAATAGTGGTATTAACTGTAAAAATATTAATACTATTAATACCACCAACCATTTATTGAACACCTACTTAATTAAATAGACTGAGTGAGTTATAATGTGCTTAGAACAGTGTCTGGCCCATAGCGTGTGCTCTACAAGTACTGGGTATTGTTTATTACCATTGCATTTGAATCTCTGTAATGGTAAAATTCCTATCACCCAATGAGAAATGGACGCTAATAAGTAAAATACTGTCTCAAGATCACGTAGCTGGTGCCAGAACCCAACCCCACACCCGCCTGACGTCGGAGCTCTCACTGGGGAGCAGCCCAGTGTCCCCTCTGGAGACTTTGGAAGGTATGAAATCCGTGGCGCATCCCCTGCTTGTGTGAAAAGAAAAGGCCCTTTGCTTAGAGAACCTGATTCCCGAAAGACAGGAGAACCGTACCCCCGCCCCCCCACTGGTATTTGTCATATTCAACAGCCACAGTGGAAGTGGGTGGGAATATGTCCGATACCAGATGGCGGATCCCGTTACAGCTGCCGACATTTGCGGTCTCACTACCCACACTGAGCCCGATCCACAGGTGTCAAGTCAACCTGGGCTCAGAGTGACCCTAGAGGACAAAGGAGAACAGTCCAGAGGATCTCCAGCGCTGCCAGCTGTACAGAGGAGCCTTGGTGGTCCTGGGGGTTAAGTGTTGGGCTGCTCACTTCAAGGTGGAGGCCAACCCCAAGAGCTGCTCCGTAGGAGAAAGAGGCGGCTCATTGTTCCCGCAGAGATGCACAGGGGGGCTAGGAGTCGGAAGAGATTTCATGGCGGTGGGCTCGGTTTTGGGTTAATGTTGTAGACACGAGAAACCAGCCTCAGAACCCCCACCCTGGGTCACCGTGAGCCGGATGGTAGTGGTGGAAGCTCCATGGAAGCAGGTTGCCACATCCGTCTTGCATGGAGGGGCCGGCAGGCTCGAATCATCCATCCTCTGTCAGCAGCCTCGCACTGACCCACCGCACCGCCAGGAACCCCGAGGCTCGTTGTGTGCCAGGAATTGTCCTAGGTGCTTTACAGGGATTTGCTCGTTTGATTTTCATGACAACCGAGACAAAGAGGAGGGGTTTCAAAAAGTTCCAGTATCTTTTAATTACATTTTCCCATGAATATCTTGAAGTCCCGTGGTACTGTGATTCCATTTTACAAACCCTAAAATGGGGACAGTGAGGTCGGGTTTTGCCTACCGCTTCTTGGTTAGCAGGAGGCTGTGCTCTGGGCTGTTCCACTAGACTGTCCTATGGGAGACGGTCGTGAATTCTAGTGGACTCACTGACAACTCCTAAGAATGCCTGTCCAGGAACTGTACTACCAGTTCCTTCCAATAGTTCTTTTGCCCTCTACCTACCTAAGCCAGAGTAAAGTTAGACTGTAGAAGATTTTCTGAGGCTACTTCCAGGGGATTTTAAGACTATTCTAAGTTTATTGGCCATACAAACTGCAATATGAAAGAAACATAGCAACAAACCAAACGTGCATATTCCAGAGGCCCGGGATTGGACAGTGCTACCGTTGATGACATTTTTCCCTGAAGAGGCGAGGTTTCTCAGAATACGAAATCTCATTTTCTACTCTCCTGACTTTTAGCCCTGGCTCTTCCCAGGCCTTGCTTTCTGCATTAGTCCGGGGGGAGGGCGGCCAGACCAAGTAATGGGTGTCCTGTATTTTGTTGCTAACCTGACCACTCGCCGTGGAGACCATGCTTGCAGTAGGCTCTTTCCCATTTCTTCTAGTTAAAGGGAAGGGTCTGTTTTTTTTTCTCAACAAGTCAAGTCATAACACAGAAATGCAAATAAGTAGATGAAGAAGGGGCTGCTCCCTCCGGCTTGGGGACAGAGGAATGAAGAGCTGCAGCTCCACCCCTGAATCTTTACACAAAAAGCCACTGTGCACTTACACCGACAGCGAAAACATGGCTGGGGAGAGCTATCAGCCAGACTAATCGTTAAGATAGTCATTTCTAACATAGAGCCTTCATAACCCAGCATGGTAAGTCCTTAATTCACAGGTTGACTAAAATACGGGCACACCCAACCCAAACCACACTGCCATCAAGGCGATTCCTACTCAAAGTGGTCATGCAGCACAGAGCAGGACTGCCCTGTGCGCTTCAGAGGCTGTGAATCTTTACGGCAGGAGAAAGCATTCTTCTTCTCCCCTGGAGTGGCTGGTGGGTCCGAACTGCTGACCTTGTGGTTGAGCAGTCCATTTGGTAACCAACTACCCCACCAGGGTTCCTTAAATATGGGCATGGTCAGGTGTAAACAACTTACAAATGCATCAATGACATTTTAAATGAATAATTCCGTTTAGAAATGAGAAAAGTGGCATTTGATTTGATAGTCAAGTACATATATATGACATATGTTCATTAATTGATTTGTTTTCTGCCACATACGTGGTCCCACGTGTGGTGGAACAGCATGGTGCTCCATGGGGCTGTCAATGTGGCTTTTTAAAGTGGCTCACCAGCTTTCTCTTCTGAAGCACCTCTGGGTAAACTTGGAATGCACACCTTTCAGTTAGCAGCTGAGCATCTTAACTGTTTGCAGCACCCAGGGGCCCTATACATCTTTTTAAAATTTTTTTATAGTAATCATTTTATTAGGGGCTCAAACAACTCAACACAATCTATACATACGTCATTTGTGTCCAGCACATTAGTACCTACGTTGACTTCATCGTTCTCACAACACCCGCTTTCCACTTGAGCCCTTGGTGTCAGCTCACCCCCCCCACTCCCCCCTAACCCCTAATAATTTATAAATTATTATTATTTTATCATATCCTACCCCATCCAACGTCTCCCTCACCCACTTCTCCGCTGTTCATCCCCCAGGGAGGAGGCCATATGCAGACCTTGTCATCTGTTCCCCCTTTCTCCCTCACCCTCCCTCCATCGCCACCCTCTCCACTGGTCCTAGGGGGTTCATCTGTCCTGGGTTCACTGTATTTCCAGTTCCTATCTGTGCCAGTGCACATCCTCTGGTCCAGCCGGATATGCAAGGCAGAACTGGGATCATGGTAGTGGGGGGGTGGGGGTGGGAGAGGAAGCATTTAAGAACTAGAGGAAAATTGCACATTTCATCGTTACTACACTGCACTCTGATTTGCTCCTCTCCTCCCCGCAGCCCTTCAGCAAGGGGATGTCCAATTTCCCCTGGATGGGCCCTGGGTTCCCACTCTGTACTCCCCTCATTCACAATGTTATGATTTTTTGTTTTAGGGTCTTTGATGCTTGATACCTGACTCCTTCGCCACCTTGTCATCTTACAGGCTGGTGTGCTTCTTCCATGTGGGCTTTGTTGTTTCTCAGTTAGATGGCCCCTTGTTTATCTTCCAGCATGTGGGACCCCAGATTGTGTGTAATTTGACAGCTTGGCACCATCAGCTTTCTTCACCACATTTGCTTATGTACCCGCTTTGTCTTCAGCATTTGCGTCGGGGTAGGCTGGTGTGCTTCTTCCTTGTGGGTTTTGCTGTTTCTTAGCAAGATGGCCGCCTGTTTGTCTTCAAGCCTTTAACACCCCAGATGCTGTTTCATTTGATAGCTAGGCACCATCTGCTTTCTTCACCAGTTTTGCTAATGCACCCCCTTTGTCCTCAGCGACCGAGTAGGGGCAGGCTGGTGTGCTTCTTCCATATGGGTTTTTTTGTCTCTCAGCTAGATGGCTGCTTGTTTGTCTTCAGGTCTTTAAGGCTTCAGGTGCTATATCTTTTGGTAGCTGGGCACCATCAGCTTTCTTCACCACACTTGCTTGTGTACCCATTGTCTTCAGTGACTTCAGGTATTATATCTTTTGGTAGCCAAGCATCATCGGCTTTCTTCACCACATTTTCTTGTGTACCCATTGTCTTCAGTGATAGTGCCACGGCTATTTTGAACATGGATTTTGCTGATTAGAATGCCATAGCTGTATTTATCCTGTTAACAAGTTTTTTTTTACATCCTCTGGTCTAGTCAGATTTGTAAGGTAGAATTGGGATCATGATAGTGTGGGGGGAGGAAGCATTTAGGAACTAGAGGAAAGTTGTATGTTTCCTTGTTGCTACATTGCACCCTAACTGGCTCGTCTCCTCCCCGAGACCCTTCTGTAAGGGGATATCCAGTGGCCTACAAATGGGTTTTTGGGTCCCCGTTCTGCACTCCCCCCCTCTATCACTGATATGATTTTTTGTTCTGTAGATCCCAAGGAGTGGCTGCTGAGTTCAAACTGCTAACCACAGAGCTGTGGTTAGCCGCTCAGTGTGGGGCCCACTACGCCACTTGGACTCCTAGTCTCCACTACAGGCTAATAAAATCATGCAACCGCAACCTACCTCATGTTCCAAGAAGAGAGCTTTTAGCTGTCCTTTGGACCAAAAATCCATGGCATATGCTAGCAGCTTCATGGAGACCATATTGATTCTGAGAAAATTCCCAACAAACACAACTCTGTCAATATTCTGAAAGACAGAAAGAAAAACAATTGAACCATCAAAAGAGCATTTAATAAAGACTCGCTTTTTGTGTGGCACAGTATGCCAACAGCCTCATTTTCTTAGGGAACTGTTTCAGCATCTCCAGGATGAAGTGCAGCCGCCTTTAGAGTGCACTCCATAAGAACACACCAGGGAGAGTTTTGCTGGGTGAGGCAGACAATGATACTGGGCCCATCTGCAGGTCCTGTATTAGGTAACCTTAAGTCTTAACATTCAATCAACTCTCACTATAGCCATACAAAATATACTGGGAGTTTAGCTAAATCTGCTAATTCATTTCACAAATCCCTCAAACTTCCAACTATACACTACTACGTCCACCTCATATCCATCCTAGTAAGATGGGCCCACTATGCCACCTGGCCATGTTATAGTTTATTCATCTAATGAGCTAGCTCAGGGGTTACTCTGGCAAACACTGGTAATGAAAAAACAAAAACAAACAAACCTGTTTCGGCCCTCATACTATATGGTGGAATATCCTGTTCAGTCAAGATACTGATTCAGCTATGGTAACAACTGTCTGTATGTAGGTATGTCAAGGCACAGGTATAGAGTTGCACTTTGAACACACAGTTATGCACATCCCTCTCCTAGCCTGACCATGCAGACCCACTGCAAATCCTGTCAACCTTGAGCTCTGGTGTGCTCCTGGCACTATTCATTCCCCAGATGTGTCTGCAGTTTAAAACAGCTCACCCTGAGCTCCAGCACGGAGGCTGCTCACCACTGCAAAGGCCGGTTGCTATGGCCACTCACAGCAAAGGGAAGAAGAGCGTCTCTGAAGTTGGCGTCAAGAATAATCAGGTTCTGGGAACAGCAGCTTTTAACCAGCTCATGTTTATCAGTCTGCTGTTGTTATTGTCATTGTTAGCTGCCACTGAGTCACCGCACAGGGACCCTGTGTGCAACAGAATTAAACACAGACAGGGCCTCTGCCACCCTCACAATCGTTGCTAAGCTGGAGCCCATTTTTGTAGACACCGTGTCTATCCATCCAGCTGCGGTTTCCCCTCTTTCTCACTGACTGCTTTACAAACGTGTCCCCTGTAGGGAGTGGCCTCTCCTGGTGACCTGTCCAAAATACGTGAGACAGTCTCACCATGCCCTCTTCCAAGGAGCATTTGGACTGTTAATCACAGTGAAATTTTCCACGGGTGGAGGGGTAATGGTGCTTTTAATTTAGTAATTTTACACCAAAGCCCCCCTCCCCTCAAAAAACAAAAAGACAAAACAGAAGTGGCTACAAACTTCCCAGTCGAAGTGGTGGCAAGCAACACTCAAAATATGAAACTCAGATTAAAGAGGAATTTGATTAAAATGTTGTATTTTGATCTTTCTCCCCGAACAAGGGGCACCCAGTCCCACATCACTTCGATAGACAGATGGCCAGAAGTGACCGTGAATGCTGCAGGGGGGCTGCTTCGAGCAGACTGGGCAGCACACAGCCAACACTACCAAATTGCGGCCTGGTTCCAAATCTGGCAGTGTTCTGGACTTCAAGTAAATGCCCGGCGGACCAAAGATATAGAGGTACTTATTTATTTTAAGAAAAAGATACTTAAAAAAAAAAAAAAGATACTAGAGGCAAACATGGGAGAATTATTTTTTTAATGATATTAACATAGAAAAGGCACACTATGTGGAATAGGGTTTAAAAGATATATTTAAATATCAAACATGTATTCTAGGGAAAACATCACCACATGCAAATCCAAGTGGAAAGTGATAAACAGAAAACATTTTCAATGCATATTACATGAGCTAATAATAGGCTCTGGTTAAAAATGAGCTTCTTCAAATCAATAAGAACAAAAAGACCAGCAATCCAATAGAAAACTGACTGAACAGCATTGAGAGTGTACACACACACACACACATGCGCGCGCACAAGTGTACACACACGTGCATGAGAAGTAAAGGTGATTAAGCACACGGAAAAAAGCTTAATTTTGCTTATACTACGAAAAACACATAGGCTATCATTTTTAAATCAAGTTTAAACCACACAGGCTATCATTTTTCATCTATTAGATAGAAAAGTAATGAGATGCCTGCTAACGTTCTATGGAGAAAACTGGGAGACACACTGCTAGTGGGAATGTAAATTTGTACACCAGAGGGGATTTTATAAGACCTTTTTTTTTTTTTTACAGTTGACATCTTTTTCACTCAGCAATTGCCCTCCTAGGAATTTATCCTACGGTTATATTCATATGTGTGCAAAAAAGATGCCTATGTATGCAAAACGTGTTTATTAATTATAAATAATAGCAAAAGACTAGAAAACCCCAAGTAGGGTTTGGGTAAGTCAAGCAGCTTATCAACACAATGGGATACTACATAGTATTAAAGATTAAGCCATTCTAAATGCTCTGCTACGGACAATCTCCAGATGGACTGCTGTGCAAACAAGCCGCCTTTTCAGAGGGGCACATTGCAGCATGTAGAGCAGAGTACATCTGGGATCTCCTTTTTAACCCTTCAGCCAGAGAGGAGGGAGAGGAGAGAGCAGAGGGAGCAAGGCTATGGAAACAGCTAAATCTGAGGTGCAACTCTGGGAAACGGTGCCATCAGGCTTGATGGATACATGGAAGTTCTTTATACCATCTCTCCCCTTAATATACTTTATCAACTTTTATAATCAAAGATTATAATAGATAATAATGACAGATTCTAATCAATAGAGGACTTATACAGAGAGTGAATTTTTAGCAAAATTACATCTTAATAAACCTTATTAAAAAAGAATCTATAGTACGGTTTGCCATCTTTGGTAGGGAAAACAGTTTATAGGCACCTACCTGAACCGATTGCTGCCTAGTCCATTCTGACTCCGTGATCCTATAGGACGAGCAGAACTGCTCCTCGGGTCTCTGAGGCTGTAACTCTTTGGGAGCAGAACGCCTCAGCTTCCTCCTGAGGAGCTGGTTGGTGGTTTCAATTGCTGACCTTGCAGTTAGCAAGCCAAGACGTACCTGACTACATCACCAGGGCCCTTTTACACATCCATGCAGGTATGTATCTAAGTACATACCTACCTACTTGCATGCATGCATATATGTAAATATAAATAAGGATCCCTGGTGGCGTAGTGGTTATATATTAGGCCGAAAACTGCAAGATCAGCAGTTCGGAACCGCCAGCTGCTACTTGGGAGGCCTCGGCTTTCTCCTCCTATGAAGTGGTGATGGTCTCGGAAACCCACAGGGGCAGGTCTTCCCTGTCCCTTAGGGCTGCTAAGCGTCATAACTGACTCAATGGCAGTGAGTTTGAGTTGTTTTTTAAAAAAATTATATATAAACATAAATAGGTACATGTGAACATATCTATTCATCCATAGTATCAGAGGTATATGTACAGATGTGCATGCGTGTACATCTGATAATGCATCTAATTTAGGATAAATTAAAAGCCTGCCACTGATGCCTGTTTCCAGTGAGGGCAGGGTGGAAATAAGGGACTCACTTCCCTGTAGATATTTCTATTACCTTGAGAATTCAGCATTGCGTGTTTGTATCATCGATACCATAGTAAAACACAAAATAAAAAATGTAAAACCGATGAAGAACATTTCACAGCACTTTGTTACTGGGCAGGTGGACAATGTGGTGTCCGTCCACCTCATGGCTGAATCAGTGACTCCGAAGAGCAAGAGTGACCACTGAATTTGAGCTACTGCTCTCCCTGGTGTGCCCCACAGGAAGCGTGCACTGACGGACGCCAGCAGTGGGGATTCCAATCCGGAGTAGAGCCTCTGCCCCCAGAGCACTCCAGGGATGCTCATTCACTCAACTCCACAGAAACATCTAAAATCCCCAGATCCAATCAGTGTAGCCTGCTAATACTGCTGAAGAGCCACTTTGCTAAATGCCAACAATAAGTTGGAGTGAAATTGAGGTCAAAAGTGAGAAGTCCGTTGACCTTCCCACAAAGTGATTTCAATCCCTGTGAAAAGATCTGCTGTCTCATTGAAGCCACGTGTGCAAGGCTGAAGCCAGCTCTGTTGAAAGCAGGGGAAAGGGCACCTATTGCCCTGTGGGGTGGTGGATGTACTATCTAAAGGACCTTTGAGAGCCCATGGGTACAGCCAGTACACACACTGAAGTCGGATGGCTTATTTAGCTAAATGAGCATTAAAAAGTTTGACATTAAAAGTTAAGGTCAAAAAGAAAAAAAAAAAGTTAAGGTCAAAAAATAAAACCTCTGTTACTGTGAGTCCCATGACAAAAGTGGCCTTGGCAAGTCCCAAGTATGGGATACACTCTTCCATCTGAATGCCAGTCTTGCATTGAAACTCCATCTGAAATGGGGACCTACAAATCTCAAAAAATGCGGACGCTGATCCACTGGCTAACAATCTACTCCACTCAATGCTGTAAACACAGGTGTCCTCCTTTGCAAGCCTGGAACTCAAAGGCAGGATTAGCACACAAGGGCTGTGTGTCTCAAGCCTCCCTTAACACTCCTCTGCTCAACTGGGAGGGGACACAGGGCACTCTAGCAGTGCCTGTCTGTCTGAGTGGTGGCCATACAGGGGTGTGAAAATTTATCAAGCTGCATGCTAATGATTTGAACCCTCTACTGTGTCAGTTTATATCAAAATTATTTTATAGGGCGGGGTGGGGGGGAAGCCTCTATTACTGATTCTACTCTGGTTGTTACCCATTACTTGTTCCCTGTCCCAGCCCCTCTCTTATCTAGTAAGTCTCAGCAAACAGAAAGCAGTTCTTCCTTATACACCCTGCATTTCACAAAAGGTTCCATTTTTCCCCCTAATGGAATTTTGCAATGGCTCAAAACTCGCTTTGTCTGTGGTAGCTCCACCCTTCTTTTGCTTGGGGCCCTCTGGCTGCAGCAAGCTCTCCCTGCTTTGATAGCCCTGTACAATGCTGCTTGAACTCCATGCCACAAGGCAACACTGTAAAGAAGCTGAAAGCAGAGAGAATATCGACTACCTCAAGTCAAACAAGTGGATTTTCCCACTGTGTGTTCCTGCTTTGGAGCAGGGGTGGGGGGTGTTTTGTATTGAAATGGACAAGTCTGGTAGGAACCACCTTTTATCTGCAATTGCTTGCAAGGTTCCAAAGAGACTTGCCTTTACGCTGGACTTATCTATTTTTACCTTTCCACGTTTGGATGTTTTGGTCTTTGTTATCCCGTGCCTGTTTAAACATAAAACATTTACTCCTCCCACCTCCCCCAAGGGTCTCTAATGTGACACTACAAAAAGGGCAGGCCTCCCAGAGATCTGCAGTTTGTAACAAACAGCTACGGCACTACTAGAAATGATACAATGAATGGCACATGTCTTTCCTTGGCTTGGAGCCTTACCTCATTCAACGCACACATCCGAGCAATGGAGCCAATGTTGTTGGTGATGGTGACCAAAGTGGCTCGGGCGAGGTCTTCCTTGCTGATGGAATCTCGCTTTTCTTTACTCATCATGTTGCCAAAGCTATGTTGGAAATATTAGCGAGAATGTTCAAATCGCGCTCAAGCAGGCCCATGCTTCCACCAGAGAACTGCGGACAGCTCTATGAATAATTCCGTTCAAACACATGACCTGATCTGGCCACCCTGGGTTTCGAGCAGACAGGTAATGATATGCATGGCTGGCTGCCCCCTTTCTAATGGAGACAATGTAGCATGGCTATTAATGAGGACGACATCATTTGTAATGCCTCTAGATATCTGGACAAGAACCGCAACAGCAGAAACTGTGGCAGCTTTCCAGAACCTTCTTTCAAAGTTGCTCTTTTAATTAAGCGCAAGCATCAGCAGTCACACATCTCGGTGCTTCATTACAGGCCAGAGGTCAAGTCTGAGCTCTGATTTGAGAGAGATCTGCACTAGGCTGGTGAGCTGACATTAAAAAAACAACAAAAAAATGACTATATGAATATTCCAGGGTGGAGGTTGCCTTGTATTTTCATGACTACTGCCCCTCGCTACTCGAGTCTCTACCTGGATGCTACCGCAGATCCTTGGAGGCCAAATCGTTCATAGTCTCCTCCGTAAATGTCCTTCACCAGCTTATCAACATTGGTGCTGTCGCCTTTAGCTGCCATTTCCAGAGCTTCTTCAAAGGTCTCACAACCAGTCAGCAAGCAACATAGGCCTAGGAATGTTCCACCTCCAAGACTGAAGGAACAATAAGGTTTATTTTTAAAATTCACCTTCGAATATGCCCATCCGAGTCCCCAATGACAACACCATTAATGCGGGTTAATAAAAACGGGGGCAGGAAAAACAAGGGGTGCTGGTGGGAGTGGGGGCACCCGAATGAACGTGCAGGGGTGCCACAGGCGTTCAGGTGGATTGGAAAAAAGGGCAGAGAGTAAAAACCCACATCAAGGAACCAATCTCCCTGTGCACAGCAACTCTATAGGGCAGGGTAGAACTGCCCCTGCGGATTTCTGAGACTGCATCTCTTCACAGGAGTAGAAAGCACTCTCTCTCCCCCAAAGGGCAGCTGGTGGTTTTGAACTGTTGACCTGTGGCGAGCAGTCCAACTCTTAACCCACTATGCCACCAAGGCTCCTACGTGAAGAAACACTTGCCTCTAAATTTACACCACAGACCACAGAAAGATTCTCACTGATTTCCGTTGTGAGACCTTCAACTCGCCACTAAACTACCTGCTTCAGTCTTCCCGCCTGCAAGATGGGGCCAACATAATCTCACCTAGTTGGGTGGCTTAAAAGTAGCAGAAAACTAGAGGGATGGTTACTATAAAATCAACAGATTCCCACTGCAGCTGAGTATGAATACTCAGGAAATGACACTGCATATACAAGAAATATGCTCACCACGATGGAGCCCAGCCTTCTGCGGACAACACTGACCCAGGGCTCTACAGGGATGGGCAACACAAACACTCTTTCACCTGACTGCCTCCCTTCTCCAGCAGAGAACCCCATCCAGTTCTTTGGAGTTTCTTAAGGGGGGATGGGGTGTTAAATTTTTCCCCCTAGTTGACTTTGGACAAAAGCCATCAACTATCTTACACACAATGGTCAGAGAATAGTAGCAGAGTTCATAAACTGGTCCCCAGTGCTCAGAACCATGTTTCCAAAAGCTTCCCGTTGTTTTCAGGATAGTGTCTTTTTACATAAAATTAGGAGCAGATTAAGATTGTTGAGAGGGAGCTCAATTGACTACTGATATGGAAGACACCTGATGGAAAGAGACGCCGACGTGGAGTAAAGATCAGGTGTCACCAGGGAACTCTCACTGGGAACAGGAAGGCTGATCGCTAAGACTGGGGCGTGGCTTCACTCTCCAGCCCCAGGCAGAAGAGCAAGTGTACACGAGCTGCTGCTGCAAGTCCCAAGGGCCTCATCTACGTTTGGGCTTTTTCCTTCCCTTTTTTGTCCCCAGCCGCTGTCAATTCTGACTCATGGTGACCTCATGGGTGTCGGAGGAGAACTGTGCTCCACTGGGCTTTCAAAGGTGGCTTTTTCAGATGTGGATTACCAGGTCTTTCTTCCAAGGCACCTCGAAGTAGACTTAAACCATTTGGTTGGCAGCCAAGCTGGCTAGCCATGAGCAACACCGAGCCCCCTATGTGTTTTGGGTACTGGCTTCTAACACTAAGAAAATATTCAAGTTGAGAACTGAAGTTCTTTTAACTGATGTTAAAACAAATTAGTATTTATTTTTTAGGCAAACTCTACCGTTAACTGTTAACAAGAATGTACCAGATTGTAGATGGGCACCGTTCTTCAAATCTATTTCTGGGAATGTAATTATTATTAAAAAAATACGCCTTGGCTGAAATTGTATTCTGATGGGAATATCAAGACGCTCTGGTGGTGTGATCATTACACGCTCCGCAGCTGGTGGTTCACACACAGCGGGCAGCCCCTGGTGACCTGCTCCTGTACAGATGACAGCCTGAAACGTCCCACGGGGGAGTTCCGCTGCTAGTCGGAATCACCTGGACAGCACATACCACCTATACCACCAAACACAGAAAGCCTGGAACCAGGCAAGTCCTGTAGCAGCCACCCCACTGTGGGCGCAAAGCCAGGAGGAAACTAGGGGCTCCATGCACACCACCAACCTGGGCAGCTCACGCATATAGATTTCCTTTAACCAAGTTTTAACTTACTGACATTTAATGCAACATTTCAGGCTACTTGTGAGCTTTAAGTGAAACTAGAAAGCTACCTTTAGTGAGAACACTGGTTTCTGAGGTCATCGGAATTGGGTTTGTTTTGTTGAGTACCTATTTCGAAGAGGAAGCCTTTGCTCACATTCTAGCTTCTCAGTGCCTTTTACCCTCCTCTTGCCCTGAATAACCTCTCTTTGGACAGCAGGTATTCACAGTAGGTGTGGAACAATCTGTTCCAAGCATAGGTGACCTAGGGCCTTGGCTGACTTAGAAAGAAGGCAACTCGGCAACGGATATGCTGGTGCTGGTGAAAGGAGAACATGTGTTTGGCATGGTAAGAAAATGACAGGTGATTCCAGACAAAGGCATTCTGAGCAGAATGGGAAGTAAGCATGCGTTCGCACAACTGGTTCACCCCAGATGGGAGCCCACGGTAGTAATACCTTCAAGTTGCTCACCATCTGAACGGATTCCTCACCCACAAGCAGATCTGCTCACTGTGGCACAACACATGGGAAGACCCTTGTTAAAGCCGTAAGTAACCTAGCTGGAGACCGCTGCTGACTGTCATTACTCAACACCCCCTCCTCCAAAAACAGAACACCCCACACCAATAATCTTCTAGTAAGGTCTGTCAGGGAGTAAAATAAATCTTCCATGACTGAGTACTAGCCCTTTTAAAGTTGAATCTGAAGTGATGACACGATAAATTCTCTACATTTCCCTTCGATTCAACTTTGCAGTCGCACAATGTCAGCGGCACAGTTTTGTGGGGGGTAGATGGGGAGTTTGAGGGGACTTAATTTCTATTATAAAATCGGAGATGTGTTACCAGAAAAAATATGTTGCTTTCGGATCTGGGATGCAATACAATTTCATGTAAGATGGTAACAAACCATTTTAAAACCATGACTTTATAAAAGAAGCCTCATATGTTTTAACAATGTGGTTTCCTGTAACTAAAAATGCTCAATGGAAAAACAGTCTAAAACATTATCAACAAACAGAAACGATAGCCATCAGTATCAGAATAAAACCCAATCCAGTCTGCGGACTCCTGACTACCCCTAAGATAGGGCACAACTGTCCCATAGGCTTTCCGAGGCTATACCCTTAGCAAACTGCCACCTTTTTCTCCAGCCAGAGGGCTGGTGAGTTTGAACTGGTGACCTTTTTGGTCACCAGTTCAAGGGCTGTAACCACTATACCACAAGGGCTCCTTTTCAATTGCAGGATAAGCAGCAAAACTTAAAGATTAAGCCACTGCTTAAACTTGTGACTTCTGAAGTGTGTTCCACTGCTGATCATAGCAGTTTCTGTAAGTGCTTTAAAAACCTAGACCTAAAGAAATCTCTACAAGAATTGCCCCAGTGGACAAAGAGGACGTAAGAGCCCGCAGGTTTTGAAGCCCTTCCCCATGTGGCAGCCCCTGAAAAGGCTATTAATTTCCATAATCCTGTAGCACAATTCCGAAACTGATGGAAGAGAGGGCTTGGTACGGAAGCTTGGCTACCCCAGAGGCAGGATTTACTGATGAGGGCAGAGCATTGGTCATGAACGGGCGGTTAGCAATAGCTGGACTCTAGAAGCATTCCGACTGCAAGAAGCTCCAGGATGGAGGGCCTGTACCTTTAATGCAATGCATGAGCTTGTTGAGTGCTGATCAACACAACCACGTGACTCTGTGGGGAAATGTCTAGCTCATTGCCACCTTAGAACTGGTTCTAGCAAAAAAAAAAAAAAAAAGAACTGGTTCTAGCAATTCAGTAATTCCTGCAAGGCTATCTGTTGCCATCTGAAAACCAGTGTCTTTACTGGTGAGCACTATCGAGTAAAAGTAGCTTGGCTGAAAGGCTTGCTTGTCTCAGAGACAGAACTAACAGTCCTCATGAGGCCATGTAGTGGACGTTTGGATTCTTTTGTGAGCAAGCAAGCTTTAGTTCTGCATTTCCAGAAAGATAAGAGACATCTAGTGGCAAGCAGCTTACCAAAGCCTTTTCTCTGGACACAAGCAGGGGTCAGTCTGAATGTGCGTGTGCACACGGGTGCCAGGGTTTCTCAATGACTGCCATGTAAAGCTCCATCGTGTTTCGGTGGGGGGTGGGGTGGGACCGGACTGGTGTTTAGCAGTGTTCTTGACTTCTGCAAGAGGCCAGTAGCCCCATCCCTTCCCTGGTTGTGATATTGCAAATGTCCCTGGAGGAGCAAATCTGTTCCCTGCCAGTAGAAACCACTCATTTCTGCACATCCATCATAGGACAAGTGGTGCACTCTTTCCAAGCGGTAAGCAGTACTACAGAATTCTGGTGCTAGAAAAGCCCAATCTTACAATCTAAGAAACACCCCTCTCAAGGGACAAATGAGGACACAGGAAGTCACATGATGGGTTCATCCATAAAGACAGTGGCTTCAACAGCTTCCTCCACAGCACGTTCCAAAGGGGACTGGCTCCTTAAGCTCTTCCTCCAAAACTGGGTTCTGCGGTCCAACCCAATGAGCCAGGTATGGCGGTGTTTCCCAACATGGGTGATATGTGTGTATTGTGCTAGAAAGTGGCCTCCACTTTATCCTAGATTATGGGCTATACTACAAATGTTTTTAATTGCAAGCTGGGTGCTTTGTAACTTTATTTTCCTTTTTTTTTCCATGAAAAGAGGAAAATCGGCCAAATAAGCTAGGGAAGCTAAATGTTTGGTATCAAACCCTTTTAGGGACTGGCATATCAGGAGCTCATTGTAAAGGCTTTAAAAAAGTGTTGTGGTAAATAGTGTAATTTGCTTCTACTAGAATTTCCCTACAATTTCTGAACCCTTTCCCCATGTGAAAGCCCCACAAACAAGAAGCTGAGCTCATTTACCCCAACAAGGGTGCATGAAAACTAAGGCAGGCCTGCTCAACTATTGTCACTAGGCTAGTTTCCTGTTCAATGTAATCCAAATTTCTGTGTGAGGAGGAATGAAGGGCATGTTGTCTAAAGACAGATCCTGTACTGAGTCTGCTGCATGTACCCAGCCTTGTGCTAGGCACCGACACCAAACTCGCAATGCCATCGAGTCTATTGACTCGCAGGGACCCCACAGAGCGGGGTCGAACTGCCCCTCTACCCTTCCAGGAGTAGAACCCTTGGTGGGAGTAGAAAGCCTCATCTTTCTCCTGTGGAGCAGCGGCTGGAGGTCTCCAGCAGCCCCACACATGTCCACTATGCCAACAGGACTGTGCTAGGCTCCAAGGCTTCTTCTGAAGGCCTCTCTGACCATCCCAACGATGCTTCCGCCTGGATTCTCCAGTACTTACTGTCCTTGTGGTTCATCTAGCGCTTGATTGCACTGACTCGTCAATGCATGGGACCTTTCTTTCCTCAAGCTGACCAGAATCTCCTTGCTCAAGCAGGGCCGAATTAAAAAGAAACAAACAACCTAACCAGTTGCTCTCCAGCAGGACTCACTGAGCCCTGCAGACAGAGTAGAACTACCCCATAGGGTTTCCAAGCCTGAAGCTTTTGTGTAAACAGTCTGCCACTGCTTTGTCCTGGAAGGCAGTTGGTGGTTTCCAACCACAGACCTTTCTGTTACCAGTGGAATGGTTGACCACAGACCCAGGGGAGTCCTTCAGAAACAGCAAGGACTGTTTTATACGTCTTCAGATAAATCACCCTCTTGCTCCTATCACTTAATTAAGCCTTTCTGGCTAGCTGAGGACAACAAGACTCCCCCCCCCCCCCCCCCCCCCCAGATACATTTAAGATAAATAGCCTTCTACTGAAAACTGGTTAGCAAGGAAATGCGCTGGAAATGCTCACAATGAAGTTCTCCTCGTGGGAAACATGTTTACCTGGTCCCTGTAACTCTTTTATAGTTGTCCTTGGAATACACTGCTAGAATGCTGACACCTGAGCCCATGTTAACCAGCAACATAGGGTATGGATTGTCAAGGCAGTACGGCTTTTTATGACACAATTGCGGATTTGTGGGGTTTTCGAAATAGTAACATTCCGGCTTGCCATTGAAGCCGACAGAATCCACGTAGAGCAGGCCCTGAATGAGACAGTCCAGTTCGTCCAGCTTATGGAGCTGCAGGTCAGCAATCTGAAAGAGAACAAGACTTGGTGAGAGAGGCTGGGACCAGTGCAGGGGAAGCCAGAGAGGCTGCAGCAAAGCTTAATGTTGGGGTCATGAACATTAAAAGCCTGGAAACATCCTTGAGACCCCAAATGGTGAAATCTTGGTGACAACCAGCCACCCTGTGCTGTGAAAGTAGCATTCACCAGTCCACCTGTGGCCCATGAGGCACACTGAAGGAAGGCAGAGATGCGGCTAGCTGGAAAGGCATTTACTGGCATGGATAATGCTTGGAAGGTGGTCTCCCACAGAGCCTGGTTACCAGAACCTGTGAATGTTACCTATTGGGAACACAGGTGTTAGAGCAATAATTAAAGATTGTGAGATGGAAAGATTATCCTGGAGGGTCCAGGTGGACGTTAAATCCATTGACGAGTGTTCTTTTAAGAACCACTCCGGGAGGTCTGACTCTGATGGACACAGGGGAGAAAGCCCAGGTGTAGGCAGAGGCAGAGGCTGGAGTGATGCAGTCACCATTCAAGACATTAGGGCAGTTGCCAGAAGCTGGAAGAGGCAAGAATGGATTCCCCTTCAAAGCCTCCGGAGGAAATGTGCCCCTGCTGGCACCTGGGTTTTTGGGTTCCTGGTCAAGATCTCTGGGAGAGAACACATTTTCTTTCTTTCTTAAGCAGTCATGTTTGTGATATTTGTTACAGCAGCCTTGGGAAACAAGGACCCCTGCCCCCAGAGAGGGTGAGACTATCTGGAGAGCAGCAGGAGTCCCACACGTCTCCTGACACTGGGGTTTGTGAGCTCCCAGTGGAGCCTGGGAGCTGGGCAATCTCCTCTGGCCTCACGGAGCCCAACCACCTCCCCAGGTTCAGGAGGAACCTGAACTATTAGACTATTAGACCCTGTTACTATTTCGAAATAGTAACATTCGGCTTGCCATTGAAGCCCACAGAAGCCACGTAAAGCAGGCCCTGAATCAGACAGTCCAGTTTGTCCAGCTTATGGAGCTGCAGGTCAGGTCAGCACTCTGAAAGAGAACAAGACCCTGGCTTTGAACTCTAATCCCAATGCTTAACTGAAAGTGGTGGGGCGAGTTACTTAACTCCTCAAACCTCAGCAAAGGCATCAGGGTGACAGTAATACCCACTGTGTAGTGTTGTGACGATGAAAATGATGTAGGTGACGATGCTTAGCACAGGGCCTGGGCACATACTGAGAGCGGAAGATAGTGTTGACTTTTTTGTTAATATGAGTGACTCTTGTTTCACTTCCAGGAGACAAAAAGTGCCACTTTCCTAAGAATGAGGGGGGGTGGGGGTGTTGGAAGGGGTGGAGGTGGCGCTTGTGGTAGTTATGTAATCTGTTGTCAATTTGAGAGGATTATGAGTAAAGGGGTAGAGTCTAACCTATCAATCATTGTATAGCCAATGAGGCCTCTCCTGAGGATTCTGGGAGCTCTGATATTCCTATTTGGAGGCGGGACACACTCTTGTCTTTCTGCTCACTCCGTAAGAGACACGCTACTGACAAGACATACGGCACTATGCTGATAGACCCCCATGCCCTGGAAACTGGAGGAGCCACGTGGAGACCCCTGCCAGCGCTGAGATGCTTACAACACCACTGGATCCACAACACTTCCCACCCACTGGCCGGTGATCTTCCTGCATTTGGCGTCATTGCATGTGTCTGAAGAGGACTTTATAGATTGGTAGTGGACCTATAGGTTAATATCGGGCTTACGGACTTGATCTGGACTGGGCTAGGATGTTTTCTCAATATTCACTTGCTCTTATATATAAAGCTCTTTCTTACATACACATGAGTCTCCCTGGATTTGTTTCTCTAGTATACAGCGCTCAAGGCTGGCTACTGTGCTAGACGTATAGGCTAGTGGCCTGCTTGTACTCATAATTCACTCTGTAACCTTCACAAGTGGTGACGGAAGGAACCTGTGAACGGTGTAAATGTGACTGACCCAGATGGGATCCTCAAGCATTTCCCACTAATAAGACAGGCAGGCTGCCAGAGGCAGAACTTGTAGGAGCCAGAAACATAAGGCAGTCCCTGGTGGGTTCTGGTTCTCTCAGCTTTCACTGTATTACTGCTAATCCAGACATCTGGGTTGATGATATATGTCATGGACCGAAACAACAAGACAGGGTAGACCTGCCCCTGTGGGTTTCTAAGACTGAAACTAGTTATGGGAGTAGAAACCCCCCTTTTTTCTCCAGCGGTGTGACCAATAGTTTCAGTCTGTTGTGGAACCCACAACTCCACCAGGGCTCCTTTCACGAATAACAACAAAAAACAATTACCAACATGAAACTAAGCCAATGAAGCCAACAGCCCAAAGACAAATCGTAAAGTGTAAAGTTAAAAAAAAATCTCAAGAAAATATTAGCAAAAATTTCAAGGGGGGTACCCCTAAAAAAAAAAAAATATCCCCCCCCCCAAAGCTATGTGTTTTTTTTTACAAAACAACCTTGCCACCTTCAAAGTACTCTCCGTTACACTTAATGTATTTGTCAAATCTGTGATTCTATTCTTGGAGACATTTTTCAAACTCATCCGTTTGGGTGACTGACAGCACCTCCCTCGTTTTTTCCTTCACCTCTTCGGTGTCATCACATCACTGTCCTTTCATGTCCCTCTTCATTAGAAGAAACAAAGAAGTCTCATGGAGCGAAGTCAGGTGAGTAAGATGCATGGGGCAAGAAAGGCATGCTGTTTTTTGCCAAAAAATGGCACACTGAGATGTCTGTGTGAGCAGGTGCAATGTTGTGGTAGCAAAACCAGAGTGTGTCCTGTCTGCCACAAATCAGGCCTTTTTTGCTGGGCACTGTTAAACAATCTTATCAGAACCTCTAAAGAAAATTTCATTAACAGCCTGACATGGTGGAACAAACTCCTGCTGCACTACACCCCCTCACATAAAAACAACAACAAAAACAAATGAGCATCGTCTTGATCTTTGATTTCACTTGATGAGCTTTTTTTGGGTGAAGTGACGATGGCGCCTTCCACTGGCTTGATTAATGTTTGCCTTTGGGGTTGGAAGAATAGCACCATGTCTCCTCCCCAGTAATGACCTTGAAACAAAAGTCTGTCACTTGGAGTTGTTCTTTCAAAGCCAGCATGTTTCTGGTCGATGTGCTTTTTCCTGGTCAGTCAGAACCCGAGGCACAGATTTCCCAGTGACCCTTCTCATTCCCAAGTCTTCTGTTAAAACCGCTCACCAAGACAGTCCAGATAACGTCCTCATCTCTTCAGTGGCCCGTCGTCAGTCTTGGAGCACAAGTGCACAAATTTTGTTGACATTTTCATCTGTTCGGGAAGTTGACAGACGTTCAGAACAAGGTTTGTCATCAATTGACACTTCACCTCTTTTGAAATGAAAAAAATCACTTGTACACTTGAGTTTTTTTCCCCCATAGCACTGCCCTTGTAAGCTGTGTTCAACATCACAACAGTTTCTGCGACATTTTTCCCGAGCAGGAAGCAAAATTTCACAGCTGCACGCTGTTCTCTTACATCTGCCATCACAAGAAGAGGCTCAAGCGAAATTGCTTTTACGAAAAAATTCACTGTGACCAGAAAGAACCTTCCCAGGTGACGCCACTGGTGCACTAACTCAAACAAGTTGCTCAATGCCCGCCTAGGGGGAAAAATGGTACCCCTCGTATAGACTGTTTTTTACTCGGGCACTTTTACTTACACAAAAAACCAAACCCTTGCTCACAAGTCGATTCCAATCTGACAGGGCAGAGTAGAACTGTTCAGATGGTGGTGCCAACACTGTAAATCTTTGGAAGCAGGCTGCCACATCTTTCTTCTGAGGAAAGCAGCTGATGGGTTCAAACCCCTGACTCTGGTTAGCAGCCGACAGCTTAAGCAGAGTTCCTTTCACTTGGACCAGTCCATTTAATTCTTACAATCACACCCTTTTAGGCAGGTATGGTTATCCTCGTTTTATGGTGAAGGTGCATAGAGATTAAACTATTTTCCCGAGTCATATAACTAGCAAGTACCCACTGTTCTTCAGCTGTTTGTTGTCACATGGATCCTGCTTCTTGGGCCTGGGAACAAGTACCACCATACTTAGGTACTTTGCCAAAAAAGACTATTGGGTGGGTCATGACGGCATAAATCCCACGTCCTCTGTCCTCCTTAACTCCACAGTTCTCACCAGCATGCATCACAGCTGGCTTGTTTTCTGGTTCATTGACTGCCCCCAACCACCAAGCAAGCTCAAAGGCTTCTCTATAATCTTTGCTTAATAAACAGTTGTTAAATAGGACAGAGGAGAAGTTATCACCTCCTGGCTCACTGCAAACTGAAAAGTAGCACTTATCAGCCAGGCTTGGGACCATGGGTTAATCTGCTTAAATATTAATCTGAGGTCAATCAATAATATTGACAGCCGTGCCTGGAGCCAACATCATCAACATGGACCGCGACCGTCTGTCCAGTTGAACATCCCAAAACCAGGCTGGCAAGGTAAGAAATCTGACAAGGCAAATAAATGAGGCACGTACAACCTTGGGCTGAAAGGAAACATCATCCTTTCACCTTTTCCCTCAAAACCACCTTCAAGCACAGCCCTAGCAGAAAAAAACAAAAATAAATCAAAAGTAAGGCAAAACCAAAAACCCGTTCTTTTCTACCCATGCTACTGAGGGGATGGGCATCTTGGAAACCTGCCTGAGGCCACGAACCTATAGAGTATGGAGACCCCCAGCAGTCTGGGACCCCCAAAGGAAAAGGGACCCCCAAAGGAAAGCAATGAGCCAGAGAGCTGCCTGGGGTTCGAAACACGGCTAGTTATCTGAAGTCTGGGACAAGTTGGGAACGAACCCACATAACAGACTCTTTAGTTCATTTCCACAGCTGGATGAACTCTCTAGAAAGCTTAAAACAGTGTGTTAAGACCCAGTTATTAAGAAACAAATACGTACTCACTCTGTGGGCTAGTCCTGGACCAGGGGTAACAAACTCAAATGCCTACAGGAGGC